ACCTCCCACAGGGGGAGGGCCACAATGCTATCTCTTCTCCTCCATTCTCCTCTCAGGCTTTTGAGCACACATGTGCATGTGCCTGGCTTGAGTTTCAAAGCTGCTGGGTCTGAGACTCAAACCGCAGTCAGCCACGTGGGAGTCCAGCACCCCAACCACTATGCCACCTGCTGGCCCCGCCCACACATTTTTTTTTAACCATTCTCCTGCCCTTCCCCCCCAAGGAGCACACTGGCAGTCTCAGTAAAGGAGAGCAACATCTCTCATTGCCCTCTGTGAGCGTTGCGCGTTGTACTCAGCCATACTCTTAAGCCTTCTGGTGCAGTCAGCAGCCTTCTCGATTACAAGGACAGGCCCAGTCAGAGAAGAGCTATTTGTCTAAAAGTTAAGTAGAGAGCAGATTTATGACCCAGAAGGCACAGACCTCTCCTAAAGGAGAGCTGCATTATTTATCTGCTTATTGCCTCGATTCAGTAGAAATGAACTGATTTGCCCAGCGGCCCCTGGGAGCAGGTCCAGAGCACAAATACAATAACAGCATCAAGTGAGGAATAGCAGATTCAAAGGCAAAATCTTCCACTAGGGAGATGGGGAACAAAGGAACCTGCGAGCCTGAATGGCTAGCTAGGGAGACGGGTTTGACAGGTGCTTTCCTGAGCTCACACTGTGGGCATCTCTCTCTCTCTCTCGCATGCACACACACACACACACACACACACACACACACACGGTGATCCTTCCTGCTACCCTCCTGCCACCTGCCACTCTGAATTCCTTCTCTTTTTCTCAGGGCAAGAGGAATCTGGACTTTGATGAGGGAGCTTGAGTTGATATGGTGGGAGACCTGCCCTCACGCTAAGCCCTGCTCTTGTTAATTCCACCTGGTGACAGGTATGCAGGAACTCGGAATGCTGGGCACTGGCCCAGGGCAAGAATTAATTAAGAGGACTGTCTATGCTCAAAATGACTTTCAGATCAGATAAACCAACACAGAGACAAGCTGGCTGGATTTGAATCCTGGCTGTCATCTCTTACCTGTGTGACTCTGGGCAAATTATTTCATTTCCCCATGCCTCCATTTCTCAGTTTGTGAAGCGGAGGTAACAGTGCCTAACTTATAGAGCTGTGATTATTAGCACCAATGCGGCAGAGGGCATGCACGGTGTAGCTTCTTAACAAGGGGTCGTAAAGGCACGGATGGGTCACTTCTGACCGAGGAATGGGAGGACTGCTTGAAGGCGTGCTTTCTCCCCGGAGTATCTAACTCTGCGTAAAGACTGGAGACTCAGAGAGTCCAAGAAGACAATTCTAGAGAAACTGGGAAAATGAGTTGGGAGAAGAAAAAAGAGATACTGGGCCAGCTAGTGACGTGGTGGTTGATGGTTGATTTTGTGGTTTGAGTCCTGAACCCGGCAGCTTGAGAGACACTCTGGATCCATACATGTGTGTGCCCAAAGTCCCAAAGGAGAATGGAGGGAAAAAAAAAATAAGTAAGCTATCAAAGCTACCTGGAATTCCCTACAGAGTCTTGGTCTGAAAGCACAACCTATCACCTCTGTCTCTCTCTGTCTGCCTGGCGAGCGCCCCGGGTGAAAAGGAAAAAAACCTCTCAAAAAAAAAAAAAAAAAAAAAAGAAAGAAAGAAAAGAAAAGAGAAAAAAAAGAAAAAAGAAAAAAGAAAAGGGGGCCGACAGATGGCAGAGTGGTTAAAGGTGCTAGACTCCCACGTGGCTGGCCACAGTTGGGGTCCCAGATTAGGCACTTGCTTTCTCACTTTCTCTCATTCTGTCTATTTCTTGTCAAATAATAATAATAATAATAAATAAAATTAAATAAGTAATTCTTTTACTTATTTATTTATTGAGAGAGATTTCTGCGATAGAGCATGTGTGCTCACTGGAGAGACAGAGAGAGACAGAGAGACAGAAAGTAAGCAATCACTTACCAGGGAGGATGGTCACTCCAAAATCCCTTCTCCTCCAGTCTCTTCTCAGGATTTTGGGCACACATGCACATGTGCCTGGCATGAATTTTAAGTCACCGGGTTCAGGACTTGAACCACTGTCATCTACGTGGGAGTCCAGTGATGTAACCATTATGCCATCTGCTGGCCCCTAAATAAGTAATTCTTAAAAGTAAAAAAAGAGAAGGGGACTGAAAGAGAACAAAGTAAGGAGGGAGGCCACAGGAATGACCTCTCTTTTTTAAAAAAAAGTTTTTTTTTTTTTAAACCCTTTTTTTTTTTTAAAGTTTGCTATAGGGTGTGTGCATTTGCCAGAGAGAGCCAGAGAAAGAGCTCGAGAGGAAAAGTGAGAAATCACTCCCCAGTGGGGATGACCACACTACAATCCCTTTTTCTCTATTCTCTCAGGATTTGGGCACACATGTACATGGGCCCAGCATATTTTATTTATTTTTTAAGGAGAGATGTTTGCTATAGGGCACGTGTGCTCACCAGAGAAGCAGAGAGAGACAGAGAGACAGAAAGCTAGAAATCACCCCCCAAGCAGCAATGGTCATGCCACAGTCCCTTCTCTTTTCTTCTCCTCTCAGGATTTTGGGCATGCACACACACTGGCCTGGCATGAGTTTAAGCTGCTGGGTCTGGGACTCGAACCATGGTTGACTATGTGGTAGTCCAGTGATGTAACCATTACACCATCTGCTGGTTGCTTCCAGCATGTTTTTTAAGCCATCAGATCTGGGGTTTGAACCATGGAGTCGGCCCTACAGGATCCAGTGCCTTAACCTCCATACCACCTGCTGGCCTGGAAAAACATAAGGTATTTTGAAAAGTGTGTTTCTTTCATCCAGGAATGAGAGTGACAGGGGCAGAGAGAGAGAGAGAGAGAGAGAGAGAAACAGAGAGACAGCACCTCCGACAGAGCCTCGACACCACAATCCACCCTCCCTTCAGCCAGCTCTGGATCACCAGCACATGTGTGCCCGGTGTACACAGGGAGGTCTCAGGACACGAACCTGGAACCTTCCCACATAGGTCAGCTCTGCAGAGAGTGGCACCATTCAAACCCCACGGAAATGATCCTGAGACCCAAAGTGAAGTGGGGCAGGACCGTAAACCAATTAGAGTGTTCCAAGTGAGAAAGAACAGCTTGAAAGCCTATACACCGTTTCTGCAGGAAATGAGAAAAACCGAATCTGGAGAGAAAGTAGCCCAAAATAAAGCCAGAAAGAAAGGGAAATAAATGAACCTCTCTGAGAGGCCAAGACAGGGACGGAAGCTTCTCCCAGTCTGCCTTTGCTTTGTGAGATATGTGCGCCTGAAGGGAGGGGGCCCTTTCTTGTGCTGGTTGTGGGCAATCAGGTGGAGGAGGCAGAGCCGAGGACGCTGAGCTGGAACAAATGAGGCAGCAGGATGACAGGCCCCCCGGGGCATGAAGGGAATTAGCTGGTGTTCTGGGGACCAATCCCAGAGATGCACTGAAAAGACGGCTCTCCAGGGAGTACGACAGACTCTCCAAACGTGTGGTAACTGCATTTGGAGAAAAGAGGAGGCAGGGCTAGAACTGATGCCTGGTCCTAAGTGCTGCGCCAGTGAAGGGCCACGTGGTTCAAGGGGATTATAGGCTCTCCTGTTCCTGACATTTGGAGATCTGGAAAAAGCATTTCCTTAGAAATCAGGAGATGGAGGTCTAGTTTATGACCTTCAGCAAGTTTCCTGGGGAGGGGAAGGGGGGAACATTCATTGAGACATCACTGTGCTAGTTAAGCAACACCTTTACATGCATTGTCTCAGTTCATTTTTTTTTCTTTTCTTTTAGAGAGAGATTTTTGCTATAGGGTGTATGTACTTGCTGGAGAGA